CCCTACAAAGAAAGATTAAAGTGCTTTGGGCTCTTTAACGTGGAGAAATGATGGCTGAGGGGTGACATGATAGAGGTGTACAAGATTATGCATGGGATGGAGCAGGTATCTCTTTCTCACAATACAAGAACTCGTGGGCACTCAATGAAATTGCTGAGCAGTCGGGTTAGAACAGATAAAAGGAAGTACTTGTTCACCCAAAGAGTAATTAATACATGGACTTCACTGCCACAGGAGGTGGTGGCGGCTACAAGCATGGATGGCTTCAAGAGGGAATTGGATAAACATATGGAGCAGAGGTTTATCAGTGGCCATTAGCCACAAGGTATAGATAGGAACTCTCAGTCTGGGCAAGTGATACTCTGTATTCTTGGTGCTTGGGGGGGGGCAACAGTGGGAGGGCTTCTAGTGTCCTGATCTCACTGATGGACCTCCTGATAGCACCTGGTACTTTTGGCCACTGTGTGACAGAGTGGTGGACTGGATGGGCCATTGACCTGATTCAACATTGGCTCCTCTTATGTTCTTATGTTCTTAAGAACCAACTTTCCAACTCCTGAGGTTTTTGTGTAGATCAGGCCTAATCATGTCATATCTTTTTCTGCAACCATCACCTCTAGAATTAGCCATGCCATGTTCCTTGCCAATGTCAGCACCTGCCCCATACATTTTCATTTTCTGCCTTGCTGCTTTGCATGTTGATATTATAGCTTGCACATAGGACAAAAGTACCACCTTGTCAATGCCAAAATATACTCTCATAGCCAGTAAGAGGAGGGCAAATTTGTTCCACGACCATGAAGAATTGGATCCTTCTGATATAGAATGTCACATTAAAGATCTGTCATTCTGGTTATTCCCTCTGCACAGAAATTTCCAGCAAAAGCAGACCTCAAGTGCTATAAAGAATGCTAAAATGCACTTCTGGAGTGGACATAACAGTCCCTATTCAAGTTCTTGAATAAGCTTTTAGTCCATTATAGGATAATCTGAAGTCAGTGTAATGCAGAACAGGGAAGAAGAATGACTTTCCCTTTAACAGGATCACAGGTTAGATCTTCAATTAGTGTTGAAAGTTAACCTTTAGCTAAAAGTCGATGTATCACCATGAAATTCAGACCAGGAGTTCATGCCTGAAGTTGCTTTGAAGGTACATTGGCACAACTATAATTGCATTTATTGAAACAATTACAATGTTTGATAGTTCATGATTTTGATATTTTTAAACGTTTCTTCCTCCACTTGATAGAACAGTTTACAGGGCATTGCATTATGGCATAGACTATACTCATGTTGTATACATTACATGTAACTCTTTCTTTGATTAATTTGCTCTCTATCCATGTTCTATTTGCATTACATTAATTCATCATTTGGTGGTAAGTTTGTGCTTTCTTTGCATGTCCAAAACAATTTCTTTAATTCAATTTCTCTGTTTCTTCTCATACAGTCTGACAGCCAGATATGCAACTCAGTCTAATCACAGTGGAATTGCAACCAGTCAAAAAAAGCCTTCTAGGTCAGTTAACATCTCTAATTTATTGCTTGCTAGTGATCTTAATGGAGTCACTGCCCACTGGCATTTTATTCTTGAAACCAAAGTAGACATTAAGCTCTTTATAATCATATTTTATATGCAAGCTTTGCAGAATTTTCTGTTGGCCCTGGAAAAACCCTGCCCATGACTGCAAAAATAACAGCTCCATTTAATAGCTGTAGGCATGTTTGTACATTGCAGCTTAGCATAATGCCTATAAAATAGCTGATTCAAATGAGCTGGCAGAGCTCTAACAGGATTTTAGTTCTCTAAAGCTTCTTTCTCAGTGCATCATCCACAGACAGACATAGGGTAAAAGGGGGCTTTATGGTACATTCAACTACACTGAGAGGCAACCTTTGCTGAAGAGAGATAGACAAGTATATCAGCAAATCAAGTATCAGTTGGCACTGTCAGTCTTACTCTTCCACACCCTCCCTTGTTTATTACCCCTTCCTGTTCCTTCACTACTGTCTGGCACAAATTATCAAAGCACCTAATGGCTCAGACTCTCACCTTTAAGGAGGTTTGTTAATTTTTTCAGCTGCTGTATAGTGAAAGGAAGCAGCTGTGAGTGAACAAACAAGGGAAGGTACTTGGTTGTCTGTTACTTTAGTTGTGATAACTTGTTCAGACTGCAGCAAATTCTCTCTTTCTCTCTGTGTTATGGTTGTCTTCTCCAGTAATTTGGTTACCAGTGGAAAGGAGTTCTGCTAATAGCAGCAGATGTTTCCTCTGAGGTTCAAAGTCATGCATTTTCAGTTGGTTGGCACAGCCCAAGTAGCTAAATGGGATGTTAGTGCTTACTTTGAGTAGCACAATCATAAATCCACATATGGAATAGAAGAACCAGGTACTTCTTGCTTTCTAGTAGCACATCTGTAGTCTCACATATTGGGCAGCTTCTCTGTCTTCAATATTTGTATTGGGGAAAACAGTTCAAAACAGCTTGAAACCACCAATCAGATCTGAATTTTTGAAAAGAGAAACAGAAAATCTTGAGTGTTAGGGACATTCAAAGTCTTGTGGAGCTGCAATGACTTGGAACAATGGACACTTGTGTAAAGGAAAATCTGATAACCCTAGTCAATTCTTACATTGTTGGCCTATCTTGTTTTCAGACATGTCTTGTATCCCTTCTGAACATTAAAAACTGCATTTGTCTCCTACTACTAGCCCCTCTTTCTGCGTGCAGCCTGTATGACTATGGGTAATCTTTTGACAACTGATCATAGTAGTATTATCTGTGCAGTTCATATATTATGTATATTCCAATGTATAGAGTCCATCTTCTAACACAATTTGAGCTGCTGGTGATAGCCTGGAATGAGCTATACCAGAGTGCAGTTGTTGTGCACCTGTGGTCGTAGGTCTTGAATCTCATTTATTATGGACTCTCTTGTCTCATCCACCATTCATCATGTCTGGGAGCTAACAGTTGTTCTTTGTCTGATGCTATAAATTTATAACAGTGTCTGTAAGATTTTGACCAGAAATATGTCTCTTGTCTATTACCTGTTCCTTTACACTTTGCATTTCCTCAGTTGTTTAATTAAAATGATTGGGGGGGGGGGGGGTGACTGGAACTGGAATATATTGGTACATGCAGAAAGTAAATGATGTCATTGTTAATGCTTAGGCTGCTAGAATGTATGTATGTATGTATGTATTAGATATGTATTATTGGATATGTATTGTGTCCATGCTTTAAAAACGATTTCAAAATGCAAATTTCTTATTTTCGATTTCTTAACTGACTGTCAAAGCAATCCTGTTAATGATTAAAAGCAGTTACATATTTAAATGTACTTTAGTGCATGGGTGGGGGGTAGCATAGATGGCCATGGTCATGATAAAGTTTAGCAAATTTCCAGCCACCTATGTCATAGTTGTGCCATTGACTGAGATGGAGTGAGTGGTCAAGCTATTGTAGTTTCTGTTAGAAACTGGTACTATTGCTGAACAAGGATCTGCTCATAACTTTTCTGTAGAAAGATGAAATTTATTTTGGCTTCTGTGATGCACCAGTGCAGTAAGCAAAGCAGGATTTAAAAAAAATCGAACATTTCCCATTGTTAATTTGCATTGTTGTATCTCCCTTCTCCAGTGCCAGCTGCTGGCATTTCACAATGCTAATATTATTGAGATATTGTTACCTAACATCACTTGATGCTGGAGATGTTTTCAATTTTGTGATCTAAATTTGATAGCCTGTCTATTGATGGTTCCAACGTTGTGCAGTGCACTGGAGAAATCCATATCTATGGGCAGCATTTAAGGCTGACATATAATTTAATAACCAAAACAATAAAATAGAAAATAATATAGTATGTGGTTTGTTCGCATTGCAAGCAATGGCATCTTCATTAATTTTAATTTTGATACCTAGGATCTTTCAGATGGTGGCAGCAAATACCAACAAATGAAATATGTAGCCTGAACTGTATTCTTCTAGGACAGAGAGAACACTTTCATTCAAGAGTCTTCATTTCAAGTAATGATCATGGGAACTATGTTGGTTACTGAATTCCGCATCACATCATGTAATAGCTGTAACCAGTGTCTGAGACTCTGGAGAAAGAGAAGATATAAACCTCCCCAGTCAAGTACACCTTTTGTTAAAGAAATCACGTCTACAGTATATCTCTTTTACACAAAACTGTACACCTAGGTTGTTTTTGTTCAAATGCATTCAGTGCATTTCACAAAAGTATACGAACTGTTTCATAGAAATATATGAACTATTTGAATAAAGGGTTATGTAGATAACAAAATATTTGAATGAATCGTTCTTGCAGTATGAATGGAAAATGCAAAGGATCCTTATATGTTTGTCTTTGGTCCTGTAAAATGTCTTCCCTCTTCTGTGAATATTAAGGCAGACCTTTTGTCAGCAGTGTTCAGTCTAACTAATCATAAATCTTATTGTTGGTCATTGTCCCTGCATTATGGGGGAAAACTAGAGGGGTCTCTGTTAGACTGTGTTAGACTTTATACAATAGACTTTGTAGCAAAACAAAGCAGAAGGCCAGTGGCACCTTAAAGTCTGAAAAAATTCATGCTAATAATTCTATTAATTAATACCATTATCCATGCTTATTCATGCTTATGCTGAAATAACTACTGTTCATCTTTAAGCTGCTACTGGACTTCTGTTTTACCTGGAAAAATGCTGATCAGCTTTGTCGATTTATATTGAAAAACTACCCATCTGATATGTTTGACAATATACAACAATTTCATTTCTGACTGTACCATTTTAGGCTTCCCGGGCCCTCAAGGGTGCCAGCTGCAGGCAGCAGTACCAAAGTCCAGGGAGCATCCAATTTAAATCGAAGAAGTCAGAGCTTTAATAGCATTGACAAAAACAAGCCTCCACAATATGCAAATGGAAATGAAAAAGGTAAGTGTTCTCTCCCCCCTCATCATGTGAAGAAGGTGACTGTGAAGAGATAATGACATGACCAGCTCTAACAAAAGTTATTCAGGAATATTGCCAAGCATCTCTAGCACTTTCATGCCCTGCTCGTGCTTATCCCATCTTTCCAAGGTATTCCATGTTTTGTATGTCCGTGGAACACTTCTTGGAATTGGAGACTTTTTGGAAAGACCTGTCCATCAAGAGTTTGGAGGGAAGCTGCTGTGACACTTTTGAAAATTGTTGCCATTGACAGTAAGGCAACCTGTATGCTTCCCTCTGTAGATCAAACAACATCCCTGGAAAAACATTTCAAGGCAAGAAAATAGCATAAGGTAAAAGCTTAGTCTCCAGTCAGTACTTGAATCCTGCAATTTAAACTGCTTGTGAGATCTCTTCTAGCTCCTTGACTAGTTTGACTGTCAGAGTAGACAATATAAAGCTGGGTAGACCAATAATCTGACTTTATATAAGGTTCCATATGTTTTGTAACATGCAGTAATCCATATTAATCCCACTTAATTAATACCACAGAGGCTTATTCAAGGGCATGTATCCCCACATTGTGGTAAATCTGATACATATCACTTATTATGTATACATTTATTTACCTTTGGCCAGAAATATAAGAACAACATTTCATCTGAGATACATGCAGACACATCGTATATAATATTTTCTAATTGAAGGTATCTAAGAATAGAACAGAATCAGTTTGAAAAGCAGTGTGTATAAAATCTACCACAAGGTGGAGGTACCTGTCTCTGAATATGTATCTCTGTTCATTTGTCAGTATTCAGCCTGTTGGAAAATTATGATTTTGAGTATACATTTAGACTTTGTAAAGCAGGAACATTTAGATTATGTGAAGACTATGTGAAGCAGAAATCCAGACTACAAGAAGTACAGTTCAGATTTATTTTCCCTGAAACAAGAATAAATTTGTGTTAAATAGGCTAGATTGTGCTCCTAAGGGCACCAAGACTACCAAACAAGGAAGGAGGAAAATACACCAAGGAAACAACACAGATGATAATTGGATGAGAACAGGCCACAGCTTTATTGATTACAGCATTGAGAGCATTTCACGCAGCATAGGGTCAGATCCAAACATTTAGTGACCCGACTGAGGATCAATGAACCACATCCCAGCCCAGAAGTGACAAGAAGTTGGTCCCACAAGGACACAAGTCCATGCATGGAATCCTTGCCACCTGGGAGTGGAGCCAGGTGACTGCCCTCAAGCTGGGCATGCAGCTAAATAACTTGACCTCCCAAGACCCCATAAGGGGGTCCTCACTTGGGGAGGTGGGCATGCACCTGCAGTCTCCCCACAAATGGATCTGGCCCAGTGCCTAGAACAGCCATAAAGCTGTGACAAAGCAATACACATTAACCAAACACAGTACAACCAATTCAGCAAAAAAGGGGAGGGAGAGAGGGAATGCCCAATGAAGCGAAGCAGGCTGACCCCGAGCTGGTGGCTCAGGCTATTAAATAACCCCTGGGAATGGGGCAGGACAGCAAACATGCCTGTTAAGTCTGCCCCCTTCCCCCCTGCCAACTCCATAGGAGGCTACAAGATGCGGCTGCTCCAAAGTAGCCATCAGTAAGTTGGTGGCTGCAGATTGTTTAGATTTTGGAAGATTAATGTACTTAGGGATTGCCATTGTTGCCCAACCTAGTCTCCCCAAATGATATCTTTCCCTGTTTCATTTCTTTAAGCAATATATGGGTTTCATAAACTAACCTGGTGAAGTGTGCCACTCCTTTCCTTTCTGAAGCTAGATATGGCTTAGGGCACAGTCAATAAATAAGAAATCTACAAATAAGAAAATTTAGAAATGGACTCCTCCTCACCCCTTATGCCTCTTATACTTAATGAACACTTCAGGCTGGTTTCAGCTGAATCATAGATTTCTTGAAAGAATGGAGTGTTTGTTTACCGAATCAAATAAGGGAAAGGATGGGAAATAACCCTGTGATAGAATTCCAGTATCAGTAGATCCAAAGCTTTATCTGCAATTTAGCTCAGAGAGTTGATATTTTGGAGGCATTGAATGTTTTTGAGAAGTTAAGGATGTACTCTGAAGCATCCAAGTACTATTAGCAAAACTTTATGAGGTCCTTCTAGAATTAGATTATAAGGAGCCAACATACAGGCAGAGATTGCAATGCAATTTAATGCAAGAAATCAGTTGGGGGGAATCTATAAAGTTATCTTAGCCACATCAGCTAACATTATTAGGAGGGAAAATGGTCTGAAATTAATGTTTAGGTGGCATTACACCCCTGCTAAATTAGGGGAAATGTTTGATATGTCTCTGACAGATGCTTCAGGAGAAAGGCTCGTTCCAACATATATGGTGGACTTGCCCTGTTATAAAACAATTCTGGGAGAGAATATGTAAAGTAGTAAGTGAAATCATAGCTCATAGATTGCAATGCTCACCAATGTTAATCTTATTTGGCCAAGTGGAACACTTATTAGTTATTCTGGTGGTGTCCAAAAATTATTGATTGCAAGCCTTTGGAAACCAAAGATAACACTGTCTATTGAAATCTGGCTGAGGAAATGTTGGCTAACTATGGTGATGGAGAAAATTGTGGTATGTAGGCACTTAAGGGAGAGGAATATAAGAAAGTAGCCATTATTTGTACAAAGATGGTCCCTGTTCATAGAGTACTCAAACAAAATTAAACCTGAAGAGGAGACCAAACTTGTGATTCTCAGCAGTATATGAGGCAATGGTTCAGTGTAAACAATGGTAATGTACTTAGAAGATTAGAAATTGATAAAAATTTTGGATTAAGATGGTAGTATATATTTGTATAAATTGTATAGATATTATTTAATATTAGTAGTGATATCTTGTGTAGAGAATTGCTATTTGAGGATTATTTGGTTATGCCAAGTTTTGCCTTTTTCTTGTCTTTTGTATTATTCAATGAAATGTATAAAAATTACCTTTTAAAAGCTAGAAATGGTGTTGGCTTCAAAGATGCCCTTACCCTTACAGAAAGAGTCTTTATTGAGGAAAATCTTTGGATCCAGCCTCTAGAATTTCTGTTATTTACATAATCAAATAGTTGCTGCAATATCAAAGTTTTTAAAATCTACATATTTATTGGCAATATATTACATTTTAATAGGTTAAAGAGGACATAATGGGTTAAACAGGAGGACATAAATAGACTTTAAGGAAATACTTGTTTATAATATATATTTTTTGTGATGTGGAGCATATGGTTTAGCTTTCCATCATCAGTTTCCCTTAAAGATGAAGAAAGAATGCTATTTGAAAAGGCCAGACCTATATCCACAGAAGCCATCTTTACTATAGGAATACATTTGCAGAAGCACAGCAAGCATTTGAGTGTAAATATGCTTATTTATTATTGCTTGATATATTTATGTATTGTACTCTTGATTAATAATCTCCAAAGTAGTTTCTAATCTTAAAATAACCAATAAAATTGCTATGAATCAAAGTTCCTGTAAATAAGCTGAAAGATCAGCAACATAGTTAAAACCCCTATAGTGCTAATTAACAGCAGCTAAAAACAAACAAACCCAAGTATAAATTTATTTGCAGCAGCAGAAGCTGATAAAAAATCCATAGGCAATGGAAGAAAAAAAAGAAGCATGAAGAATTAACCATCTAAAAACCAACTAAGAATCCTGTCTAGCATTAGAATAAAATTAGGCTGTTTATTGGGTAAAATCAGAAAAAATGATCTACAAGATATTTATTATTTATTTAATTGTTGGATTTCTATACCACCCTCCCAAAGGCTCAGGGTGGTTCACAGGTGGCAAAGCCGGAATCTAAAATACAATAAAACATACAATAAAATACAATATTTAAACCACAAAACCATCCTATAACACGATTGTCCATAACAAAATTTGTGGCATTTCTGGATCTGGAAGAGAAGGCAGAGTCTATGACAAAATCCATCATTGCCTTAAGTGCTATTTTTGGCCACTGTGTGACAGAGTGTTGGACTGGATGGGCCATTGGCCTGAATCAACAATGGCTTCTCTTATGTTCTTAACGTCTACATTTTTAAGCAGAGATCCAACCTGAACCATTGACTGCGTATATAGTATTTTTTTCAGTATATAATAGTATGTTTCTTGCATGGCTTGCTCATAGTCTTTGACATTGTGTAGCACCAAATACTATTTACAAACTTCAGAATATATTTTAGCTAACTGTAAAATGTGACTTAAGTAATGACATTATACACTATAATTAAGCAAGCATAAATGGTGGTTTTCAAGGGCTTAATCACAATTAACAGTTAATTTTTATAATGTAGGATAATGTTAAACAGGCCAGTAGCACATCTGAAAATATGGGTTTAATTTAGAGAGGCCCATGTGTTTTTCATATAGCTTGCTTTGCTTTGCAAAATATGGCTTCAAATGGTGTGGTGGTGACTGATGTACAATTGAACTTTAGTATAAGGGGAGAACTAGTAAGGGCTTAACTACATGGTAGATTTAAGAATGCAATATGTGGAGGAAGCTTTGACCTCCCCCCATGATGGTTCTCTCCACTGGATATGGCCAGGGGGGCCTTATTTGCTCCATTGGTAGTTATATGTGTATTGGTAAGCTATACATTATGTTTTCACAACAGGGCAAATAGCATCCACAGGGAGCTCTTCAGGTCAGAAAATGGTATAGGGGAAAGACCCAAGCTGCCTGTACATACTGCAGGCCCAAACTTAATCAAGCCCACATGTATCTGGGAAGCACAGAACTTCAGAACATGCCTGTTTACTCAATTCGAGGATGTCCCCTGGGGAAATGTAATGTCTCTCTATTCCTTATATATTGCCAAATGCACATTTGAGAGCATGTGTTTGCTGAAATAATCTTTGGTTCAGCCTTTATTATTGCTGAGACCCAATTTTGCATACACACTGGCTACAGTGACAATTATTCATGCCAATCTCTAGTTGTGTGAGCAGTGTCACATTAGAGTCATAAACTATAGAAGCTTTCCACGTTCACTTTTTCTGACATTTTGCAGGAATTATAGAGATCCAAATTACTAGATCTTGCTTCTAATTATAGAGATCCAAATTACTAGATCTTTATTTCTGAATTTTGTACTGAATGTGCAATTTGCTGCCATTTTCACTCTGATTTATCTATGTGCATTGATAAAACATTGCAAATAAGCAGTCCTTGTTATAGTATGATTCTTTATACATACAGAGACATACATGGCCAGGGTCCGACATACCTGAGGGACCGCCTTTCCCCATATAGGCCCCAAAGAGCACTTCGGTCGGGGTCACAGCACCGTTTAGTGACCCCGGGCCCAAAAGAGGCCAGGCTAGCTACCACGAGGGCCAGGTCCTTTTCGGTGGCGGCCCCTATCTGGTGGAATGAGCTCCCAGAGGAGATCAGGGCTCTGCGGGACCTTTTACAGTTCCGCAGAGCCTGTAAGATGGAGCTCTTCCGCCAGGCTTTTGAATAGGGGCCGCCGCCGCCACTACCACCACCGCATGTATGCGGAAGCAGGACTGTCAGGGTAGGCCTACAAGAAATTGGAACAACACGGCTTAGGCCGCCCCTCTCCCTTCTGATTTCAACCTCAGACCTCTTCCTGGCATGTAATGGAGAAAATGTATTTTAGTCCTCCATGTATCTTGTAAGTTGTAATTTATGCTGTTTTTAATGTATTTGGTTTTATAGCACTTGTGCCTTGTAAGCCGCCCTGAGCCTGCGTGCGGGGAGGGCGGGGTAGAAATGGAATTAAATAAATAAATAAATAAATAAATAAATAAATGTGTATCACAATATAACACTATAGAAAAGGAATTTTGGTACAATCTTTCATATGTTTTCATCAAGATTGCTTTTGTGCATTGTTTCATCAGTGCACACATCAGTAACAGTGGGGGTAAATGCAAATGAACAGGGGGGGGAATGAAAGCTGCGACCAATTCAATTCCATCCAAAATGAATTTTAGAAATTCTTGTAGTTAAGTTCAAATAAGTAAGTTTAAAATGCAGAACAGTGAAAATTCCAGAACACTAAAAGAATGGAATTGAGATAACTTTATTCATCCCTTCTGTAAATCCATGCATGATTCTTTTCAGCTCCTCTTGTGAGAAAATTAGAAGTTCATAGAAGAGACAGGGTGATAGTACTTCAAGGAGTCACTCAACATTAATGCTTGTGTAAAATAGACTCCTTTCTTAAGTAAACTATTCAGTAAAAGACGGTTACAGTACAGTTGCCAGGCCACAGCTAGAGAATTCAAGGGGGAAGCTGCTGGCATGGTGGCATCATGCTGGTGTGCTGACGTCACTTCTGGTAAAAACTAGAAGTGATGTAATAGGATGCTCTAGGATTTGTAATAGCTGTATGGTAAAACCATAGAGGATTTTGGGTTTTTTTGCAAATCCTAGAGCATCTCATAGTGTCCCTTCCAGCTTTTCACTAGAAGTGATGCTTTCATGCCAGTGCAATGCTAGCATATGCCCCCATTTCTTCCTGCAAGCCAGTGGGCAAAATACCTGGTTGCTGGGAGGTTTCCAGCTATAGTAAGAGACCTGGAAACCCTGAGCTAGTGGCATGGTATTATAATAGACTTTGTGGACTAGACAGGTATGATGCTGAGACCCATGAAAGGGTCTTCCCAGAATTTTTAAAAGGACAATAGCAACCATGTGGAACCTGATTCAGATTGCGCCCTGCAGGGGAGTGATTTTTCTCCCTGCAGGATGGAGAGTTCACTGATCAAAACCAACCCTTTCATGGTGTCATTAATCTTGAAAGAGGAAACATGACAGGCAGAGAGGGATGACTGTCTCTTTTCCACATCCAGTATGTTCTCAATAAGCCTATCCAGCTTGTCATTCATATATATTTTCTTTTTATGGTAAAGGGCTTCAACCGTGAAACTGTCTCATATAATCAGTATTAAAAGGAAACATTGTACCTCGGTTACGTTGATTTATCCTTTTTGGAACTTGGAGAAATTTCAATCTATTTCGATTATATTAATTGGTTCTTTATTTTAGGGGTGCTGGTGGTTACAATAACATTTATAATATATGTCTTATCATTAGTGAGCTTTGTTTCTACCAGTATGCTGGTGTATAGCTATTGTTTAAAACAAGATAATTCCTGCTCATGCAGTTGCCATTTGTCAATTACAGTAATAGCAACCTGTCATTGGCTAAGTCAGATGTCACACAAAATCATGGTTTAATTAAGCAAACTATGGTTAGTTTGACTGTCTGGATGTGGACCACTCCCCTAAGAGGTTCGTTAGGGTATGTCGAACTGTAGTTTGAAGTTGGTTGTTTATCTATGGTTAGTCTTTATGGTTTTGCATGACTTACAGTACTGCTGACATGCTGGCTTGTTCCCTAGTGCCACTCTTGCAGCATTAAGGCCAGGATATGTACTAGGTCTGAGAGAAAATGCAGTGACCTAATATAATTCTGTCATGCTGTTGTTGAAATCACAGGGGTAATTTTCAAGCCCAGGCATTACTAGTAACCTTACTCCTACCCAGCCAGACAGTTCAGTGCTTCTTTTATTCAAGTTCGCTCCTCAGATGACTGGCGCCAGAAGCATAGGTATGGCCAGAGGGATCCTATATGTGAGGCAAGAGAGGCAAGACTATCCCACTGTGCTGTCTGTCACTTCAGTCTCATTATATCAGGAATGTAGGTTTGTAATCAGCCACGTGGCTGATTCAGTAATGGCTGAAGTGTCTCTACATTGTCTCATTACTTGTTTTTTCTCATTAAGTGGTTTCCTTCAAGTTGTATGGGATCACTGCCCTACTCTGTTTCTTTGCCATTTAAAAATGTTGCATCACTTACAGCCACTGTCTATGAGCTGCTACCGATCTAGGCAACAGTCATACAGCACAATTTTCTGTGTTCCTACCACTGCTACTATGAATGCAGAGGCATTTACAGCTGCAATAGAGCATCCACATGGTACTTTTTCAGGCCCTTTGCTTGCCCTAGATCCCAATGACTGCTATTCTCCCTATGCCTGCCATTCTCCTTATACCATATATTGCTGTAGGATTTTTCAAAAGTCCTATGGTGGCATGAGGGAGGGAAATGGCAACCCTGACAGGACTGAGGCAAGAAAAATAGTGTTTTTGAATACTTTGAATAATGGAATAATATAATCTATGAGTTAAACAACCAATAAAATATATTCCCCCCCCCTCTCTCTCTATATATATATATGTGTGTGTGTGTGTGTGTGTGTGTGTGTGTGTATATATATATATATATATGGAAAGTAGTGTTCTTTGGGGGGGAATGACTGCAAAAATGTGCACATTTCTATCCGCATAACATGCTTAGAACATGATATTCTAAAGATCTTCCTCAAAAGAACACAGAAAAGCTGGGGGGGAAATGGAAAGTAGATGAAAACCAACAACCCATAGTCTAGTGCAGACACAAAATTGGAGCACAACCTCTGTGTAGAAGCTGTTCTAGCGGCACTAACCAAGCTTCTTTAGCACCACAACATCCTGGGCTGGCTATCAGCAGTCACTGCAACTACAATGATATGCTTTTTGGCTAGTACCATTGCTGATAGTATCAGACCTTTAATTGGAAAAATGTATTATTTGAGCAAATAATGACATCTCTAAAAGATGCATATCCCTCTTCCCCTTCCCCACCTGCCTAGAGTCTCATTCTTTTGTAATTTGGAATGTTTGTTAATATGTGGGTAATCCCATCAAGGACTGTTTTAGCAGAATATAAAATTACAATTATAATGTATTATATGTGATAAATTTAATTTCATCCATAAAAGTGTATTTCTTTATTCCAGTGACTCAAAGGATTGGAGTTTCAGAAGCAATATATGACGGAGTGGAAGTTTTACATATATAAACTAGGTCAATCAGAGTAGGCTTTTGGAGAGCTCAGTGCTAGCTCTGCTTTCAGATTCACAGCTAATTGGGATGACACATTATTCTGAGAGAGGTTAAAGAACTCTGAAAAATTAACATTATTTTTCTTTTTAAACTAGAATCCCCCAAAGGCCCTCACCCATCCGCAGGCATGAATGGAAATGTACAGCATCCCACCAGCACTGGGCAGCAGCCGGTCTCTGCCATCCCTTCTCCAAGTGCCAGCAAGCCTTGGCGCAGCAAGTCCATGAATGTCAAGCACAGTGCCACCTCTACCATGCTGTCTGTCAAGCAGCCTAGCCCCGCAACCTCTCCTACACCTTCAGATAGGCTTAAGCCACCCCTCTCTGAAGGACCAAAAACTCCTTCCTCTGGACAGAAATCCATGTTGGAGAAATTCAAACTGGTTAATGCTAGAACTGTCCTGCGGCCTCCCTTGTCATCATCAAATTCAGGTCCCAATGACAGTGGGAAAGATGAGGAAGCTCTTTCAGAGTGTGTTGAAATGGATGGCTTCAGTGGTGGGCTCAACAGTGGTGGTTCCACCAGCAGCAGTCCTAAGATATCGCCGAAACTAACCCCTCCAAAAGCTGGAAGCAAAAATCTCAGCAATAAAAAGTCTTTGCTACAGCCAAAGGACAAAGAGGAAAAGAGCAGGGACAAAAATAAAGTTTGCACTGAGAAGGCGGTAAAGGAAGAGAAGGACCAGGCCACAGAGACACCTACGAAAAAGACCTCAAAAATTGCAAGCCTGATCCCAAAGGGGAGTAAGACTACATCAGCCAAGAAAGAAAGTTTAATACCTTCCTCTAGTGGAATACCAAAACCTGGATCAAAAGTATCTGTATCTAAGCAGAGTCCATCACTGGCATGTTCAGGAAGTAAAGAAACTGAAAAACTAAGGAGTGCAAAAGGAAACCAACCCCAGTCAACAGCAAAATCTCAAGGTAATGATAAAGCATACACTCCTTGTAATCTCCCATCTTCAGAAGGAAAAGAATCCAGTATGGCTCTTACCCCTAGTTCATCTACTGCTCTTTCAATGGCTGCAACTAGTGGACAAGCAACAGGAAACAGTGTTGTTCAACTTCCTCAGCAACAGCAATACAGCCACCCAAATACAGCCACAGTAGCACCATTTATTTATAGGTAAGATAAGATTTTATAATTTATTAGGTTTGTAGCTAAAAATGGTAGGCTATTTTTACTTATTGGTTTGTTTATCGGGCTTTCCTGGGTGAAACTGATTGTGTGAATCCATTTCACACCAGCTTCTGACCTGGGTTTGGGACCAAAACAGTCTTGGTTTTACTTAGTTTATTTGCTGGGAAATGGATAAGAGAGTGAATCTCTCAGCAGCTTTCAATACCAGAGGATACCATCCTTTGCAACATCTTGCTGGATGGAACTGGATGCCACACCATACATTGGTAGCTCAGCTTGTTGCTTGAGGGTTGTTTCTAGCAAGTTACACTCAGAGACTGTTTTTTGGATTCCAGAGTTTGGGGCTTATGGTTCCACAGGGATCCATTCTTGTCTTGTCTTCTTTGTTGCTTAATATCTACATAAAAGAGGTAGGGGGAAGTCATCCAATAATTTGGATGGAGATATTATCATTATGCAGTTGATACCCGGCAGTATCTCCTTTCACCAACAAAATCTGTGGAATTTGTAAATTTGAATTTGAGCGGTGGCTCAAGTGGTTAAGACGCTGAACTTCAGGCTATGGAAGGTCGGTAGTTCAGCAGTTCGAGACCCGGGTGCCGCATGACGGAGTGAGCTCCCGTCTCTAGTTCTAGCTCCTGCCAACCTAGCAGTTCGAAAGCAAGAAATTGCAAGTAGATAAATAGGTACCACTTCAGTGGGAAGGTAACAGCGTTCCATGCGCCTTGGTGTTTAGTCATGCTGGCCACATGACCACGGAAATGTCTTCGGACAGCGCTGGCTCTTCGGCTTTGAAACGGAGATGAGCACCGCAACCCTAGAGTCGGATTCGACTGGCTTTCAAGCAAGGGAACCTTTACCTTTACTATCTGGACTAGATATGAAAGAACAAACTGAAATTTAATCCAGACAGTTTGGAGGTAGAGCTGTTAAGTGCTTTAACTCATCTGGCAGATAGAACTATAGCCTGTTTTGGATGAGGTTACAGTCCCCCTTAGTAATCAAGTATGCATCTCGGGAGTGGTCTTGGATCCATTGCTGGATGGCCAGATTTCAGCAGTGGCCATTTAGGATTAGGCTAATATACCAACTGTTCTGTTTTCTGGAAAAGACTGGCCTAGTTACAGATCATACCTTGATAACATCCAGTATTTCAGTCTTAGAAATTTCAGTTGGTCTAAAATCTGGTAGACCTGTATGGTAGTAAACAACTTTGTCAAAGTACAGCCTCTTACCTCTTGCATTTTGCTTTCTATAAACAAAAAAAAAAACCAGCCTCAGAAAAGTTGCATAAGGTTAAACTAATTTAGCAGCATATTTTGAAGAAGCAAATCCATATCAGTGCCAAAAAAAACAGCTGAAGTAGTTTCCTGTGTGCAAAATGCTTTCAGTTTATGTTTCCATTCTGAGTAGCTGCTTTCCTTGTCACAACCCATTTCTAAAACTCAAGCAGCTAACCAATTGCTGATAGGAGTAGGAATGCCAGCCTCCAGATGGGGCCTGGAGATCATTTGGAGTTAACAGTTTTCCAGAGTACAGAGATCAGTCCTCCTGCAGTAAATTGTTACTTTGGAGGGTAAACTCTATAGCATTAAACCCCGCTGAGGTTTGCCCTGTCCAAAACCCCACCCTCCCCAGGTTCCACCCAGAAATATCCAAGAATTTCCCAACCCAAAGTTGGCAACCCTAGATAAAGGACAGGGGTCTGTTGTTTAAAGAAAAAAGTAAAACAAAAAAACCCAAAATACCTTACTAGGCATGAGGCTTTCTGGTTGCCTGCCCACAGCTGGCAGCCTTCTGTTTCTGCCCTCCATCGCCTGCACTCGATCTTTGACACAGAGGAGAAAAAGGTTGAGGGGAATGTCACAGATGTCAAGACATCACTTCTGGGTTTTCACCCAGAAGTCTTTACCACAGAGATTGGGGGAATTCCTAGAAGATGCTGTGGCATCAGTTCTGGGTGATGACTCAGAAGCAACACCACAGCATTTGTGACACTCTGCCCTCCCCAGGCCACACCCCCAAATGCCCACAGGGTTGCAGTTGCAGGGCTGGCCATCCTTCTAGACAGGCCCAAGAAACAGCCACTCCTGCAAATTGCTCTTGGCATCCCAGTGTATTATTTTAAACATTTTTTAAAATGCTTTGATATCAGAGTTAGAATAGTGTAGTGGCTGGAGTATTTGACTAGAATGAGATAGTCCAGGCTTGAAATCACCAACTCGCCTCTGAACCTCAGTGCACGACGTGTCACATCTCTCATATTTTCAGCCTAACCTAGGATAAAATTGAGTCAGGAAAAGTCTTGTAGATTAACCAGAGCTTATTTTATACTTATATATCTCACCCCCACTTTTAACCCTCTGGGGTTACAGTAGTAACATATAATTTGCACTATGAATGTTCTAACAAAGAGCCAATTTATATATGATAGATTCACATGCATTTCTTCACATTTTTCCCATTCACATGTAAACTTGGGTTTGAAATTTTATTTTTACAGAAAATGGAACAGTGTATTAGGGGAGCTAAACCCTGCCTCTCCCCCACTTATGCTTTAAGCATTTTTCTTCAAGCCTGACTCACTTCTGGTAGCAGAGCTTGGCTAGGAAAAGATGCATTGCACAACAGAGGACTGTTGCAGTATGGGTGGGATGAGGTCAAACGTTTTAGTTCATCTTCCCTCACCTTGGCAATTCATGTGAAAATAATTTACACCCCTCCCCTCTGCTTTTGAACAGACAAGTAAATAAATATGTCTAGATATTCCCTGTCATAGATATTTTGCCCCTCAGTAATAGTAGTTTTTGAAATGTCAGCTGCTAACGAATTTTTTAGCTTTAGCTTTTGAGTAAATTAAAGTTTAAAAAAAGAATAAATGGGATAGAGTGAAAAAGGCATTAGTAAGTGGAATAGTCTGGCCTCTTTCTGTTAGCAAGTGGTACTGAAGATAAAAATTGCTTGAAGATTAAAAAGGGTTAGAGGAAGCGCTAAGGGAATGCATGTCATTATGCAGAAGCCACCAGCTTCATACCCGAGGTGGATGAGGGATAAACTATTTAAGCAAATTGCCAGTAAAAAGTCTTTTAAGAATAGATGTAAAAACTTGAAATAGCACAGTTTACATTTTAAGACAGATTTCCTAGATTTTGTGAAATGAATGCATGGGAACGTATTTATTTTTTAAAATGTTAAAATTGTTGGCTGAATTTAAAATTACAGAGTATTTATAGGAATATACCACTCATAATCATTATATTATGCATTAGCTTTAAGTGTATATACATGTGTAACAATAAGACATAAGTAAAGTACTGTTTACGTAGGATGGAGGAGAGGGTCTATAGTCCCCGTGGGCCCACAGGTCATTATTTGATCTGGGCATCTCCTCATACGACCCAGATCCAAACCAAACATGCTATAGAAATGAAACATATGACATGACAGGTTCCACAGGGTTCCTGCTTCCCCTGCTGCCCACACAGTAGTGGAAGAAAAATAAATTTAAAAATCATCAGTGAGCCAACAGGTTCACTGAGATGAAAGAGACTAAAAGAACAAAATTCCAAATGCCTTGTTCATCTTGGAAGTTTCTGATGATTCCTAGGAAGGTGTGACGTCTGTCTGAGTTTTCCCTAGAAATGTTACACCATTGTAGTGGCAGTGCTCCCCCATGTCTGTCCCCCTCCCCTTCAGACTCCTAGACTGGTTGACTGACTTCCAGCATTACTTTACTTCCAAGAGAACATCAAAATAGATGTCATCAGGGCTTTTTTTGTAGAAAAAGCCCAGCAGGAACCTATTAGCATAATAGGCCACACCCAACAGCAGAAGCTCATTAGCGTATTAGACCACACCCTGACAGTGTGGCTCTTTAGCATATTAGGCCACACCCCCTTGGCTTGCCCGGGCAAGCCCCCCCTTGAAGTAAGGGAAAGCAGTTTAAACTGTGTTCCCTTGGCTTGCCCAAGCGCCCCACGGCTGTGGGGAACCTGGGCAAGCCAGCCCTTGGACAGGCCGGGGAATGCATTTAAATGCCTCCCCAATCCTTCCAGGGGCCCCCTGGCCCATCCGCCTTGGAGTCGCCGGGGGGGGGGGGTGTCGCTCTCCAGGCCTTCCCTCTGTAGCCACGCACGCAGAGGTTTTGGCTGTAGTGGGTGTGGCCAACTCGGAAGCCAGCCGGAACTCCGTTCCTGTGCGTTCCTGCCCAAAAATAGCCCTGGATGTCATGCCTCTCTAGGAATTGCTGGAAAAGCAGAGGAGATGATGGATGATAATAATATATTAACAGTCAGTGTGCACTATATTTTTGTTATGCTGCAAGAATAAAAATGCTATATGAATAAAAAATTCGCATATGTGCAACTTTCGGGTTTTTCTTTTGTAATCCAGTTTCCGCAAAGCAAAGGTGTAGCTAAGTATTTTGCAGTTTCCCCCTCATCAAATGGAAATTCAAAAGTCTGAAACCTTATTCAAGATAAATCCATTTTATAGGTCATGTGGTATGTGCAGGTATACAGGGATGCTTTGAAGGTTTCTTTTTTTAAAAAAAAAATAACTTGCAAGGACTTGTAGGGGAATGAAATTATTTTACATTGCATACATATGCATACATTGCATACACCCAGCTGGTGCCTTTTAGATATGGGGAGACACGTATTTGCATTTTAGTTGACAGACTTCTGTCCTGCATTTTTCCAAGGAGCTCTCTTTGGGTTATTAATTCATTTTATCTTCACAAGTACCCTGTAATGTCCTTAATCAGAAACATAGTGGTTTGCATATGGAGATGCAATGATTCATGTGGCTGAGCAAGGAGATTCATTTGGCATTCCCATAGCCAGGTTTATCATTAGAAGAATTGCTTCATGCTGGCTTTTAAGCTTGTTCTTGTCTTTGCCCTTTCACTGTTAAAATAACATTTCTGTAAGATGAAAAACCAAGCCCTCATTACTGCTAGGGCAAAAAGGTGTATCCCCCCTCCT